CTTTTTTTCGTAGATCATTGCCGCTTCCAAGGAGGTAATGAACTACACTAACATACAACAAGGCATACATGCAAACTTATCATATTTAAAGTGAATGGTGGGCTTATTTGCATATCATAGAAGACTGGACAATTGACCTAGGCAGAGGTCTGCAGTCTCTAGTACCTTTTTAGTTATACTGTAGTTTGTTTTATAACTTTTAACAAGGCAGAGAATGGTTTGCTTCCCCCACAAATGAGATGAAGTAAATAGTCTTTGACTGGTTGCCCCATTATTTCTCTTCCTGATACAGTTCTGTCTCTTTACCTTGTTTTTCACCACAGAGGTTGAGCATTGAGTACCCCCATGTTCTTTTCTCCTTGGCTGTCCACTTCCATATTATTTTCTAATATGACTGCTCCACCACTGTGCAGAGAGGTCAAGCTGTCTTGACATGAAGGTTACACCTGACACAACAGTTTACCCTGAGCTGCAGACTATGGCCATCATGAAATGCACCAGTTCTGTCTACGTTGCTGTGTCGATGCTTCATTTAATTTGTAAAATGCAGGTTAAGTGCTTTCTAGGCAGAAATAGCTGCTGCTATGGCAGAGCCACAGGCTTGCATTGGCCAAAAAAGACATGGCTACAGCCCAATATTATTATTTTAAGTTGTTGTTCGAATGAGCTTGGGTTATCCTGTTACAGTCATTGATGCTGCCAAAATACATTAATAAATTGAGTGAGGGAAAAGTTAAAAATTGTCCTTTTTTCTGACGCACTAACCCATTGAGATGTTCTAGCTGGAAACACATAATAAATCTTATTTATGTAGGAACAATGCAAATACTGTATGTAAATGTAAATCCATGCATTTTGCAAGACACTACAGGTGATCATGGTCAAAAATTGCTGAATACTTACATTAACTGTATATCTGTTTCTGTATATTTCTGTATTATTAACATTTCCATTTGAATATGCAAATGAGGTATTATGTAATGCTAACTTTTAAGGAAATCAACAGATGCAAACAGTGTATTTTTGTGTGCTTTATTTCCACTAATCTAAAAGAAGACAAAAAGCAAAATAAGCCAAAATCTCAAAATTGATCACATGAAAAAGTGTTATTATTTTTGGATAGGAGTGCCACATGCAATATAATTTGGCTCAAAATAAACATTTGCTCATACTGGTAAAAACTAGAATCTGGGTGGAACTGCATTTCTTACTAAATTTGACATCATTTTGTAGGAGGACTTTAGATACAGAAACCTATACTTAGACTGCTGCAACATAATGTATACTTTTTGCCTTTTAATGACTCTTACAGGACTGTAAGTGCATACATTTTTAGCATGGACAACTAGAGTAGTGCTCCTATCTCTGAAACACTGCAATGTCCATATTCCATCCACTGCTGACTTACTCCTCCACTCTGGTGACCGTGGTAAACATAGAAAGAGAAGCATTCTCAGAACATGACTAATAGGAAACATCACTGCAACAGAGAACACTCATTTATGAACACCCTGAGATAACAAATTACAGCATTTAACATAAAGCAGACTACTTGCTCTTGTCCACACTCTTAAACCTCCACAGAAAAGAGAGAGAGAGAAATAAATGGGATGGATTATTAATTTGCTTATTCATTCAGTCCATTGAGGGGTATGAATATTTAAATCATGTTTTCTATTTCAGTGCTAGAGAGGACAGACTTGCCACTTGATGTGCAGGTGTTGGGGGTGTTTGTTTAGACGGAATCAACATCTTTTCAATCTGCATTCATTAGCTTCAAATAGGAAGAGGAGCTGAAAGTAACTCTCAGCTCATCTCTATGGAAATTGAATATATAATTTCCTCCCTCAGATGTGGACGTGATGACTTTGGTACAGTGGGTGAATGAACTTAAAGCCTTCCGAATGTGTTTGCGTGTATGCACCTGTGTATGTGTGTAAATTTAGCATGTACACATTCTCCTTCCGTTGGTCTTTGATGATAATGAGGGGAGTAATGATAATAATGATAATGACATTAATCACATGCAACTTGATGATACAGTAATTATGTTATTTACAAGTTTGGTCAAGACTACCACAGAATATGCTTGGCAGTAGTTTGGTTCAGTATGATGTCTAGATGTCCACATTAGTTAAAGGTGCAATGTGTAAGAATTAAGGAGATTTATGAGTTTAACACATAAAAAAATCACCAAAAGAATGTGAAGAAATAACCATTTTAAACAAGGGAAACAAGTTTTAGTCCAGTTTAATAAAGAAATTTGAATTTTAAGCTTTTTGAGGTAATGTTCAACATGAGCTTTGTAGGCCTATCAGCATTGTTATTTAAAATGCAGTACTCAATTAATTACATTTCCATTGAGGTCATGGGAACATCAACAGTCTATGATCTTTTGAAGTGCAAACATGTTGTCTTTAAAGTTTACAATAATCTTAAAATGAATCAAAAACAGACTAATCTGGAGAAGAGCTGGTTTGTGGTAGAGATAATAACATAAAAGATGGTATCATCTGCATAAAAACTGACAGCAGTGCTCAGTTGGGGAATAAATATTATTTATCTGAAGAGTAAATAGCAGGGGGGCAAATGTCGACCCTTTATTAACTATTTGGGCACTTCATTTAAAACCACTGGCAACAACTAGAGTCTATAGATTCCTACAGGATTCTGCGAAGAAGCGCAGTGATTTATGATGAATAAAAATTCAAAATTAATTTTTTAGTATGAATAAAAGTTATTAGCCTAGAAATACAAGGATTATAATATGAGGCTTGGTGTGGTCAAGGTCAGGGTATAGATCTTTGAGGGAGTTCTGTTTCCATCTGTAACTATACTGGGATCCATACAGCCACCAGTGACACACCAACAGACATCTTTGTGTTCAGCATTGCTAATTATTTTCAATAATGAGCTCTTGAACTGTATGACAAATATGAACAATCTCAAGGGAGTGAGGACAGAGCAGCAATGAGGTTAACAACAGCAGTTTAGCTCATCTTCTCAGAGCCAGGATGGAAAATCAACAAGAGGGCAAGCTCATCATGGTGATGAAGTATGACGCAAGGTGGAAGTTACTTTAATTCCCCTGTGTTGTTAAGTGGAAATGGATTATGCTTGAAACCTAAAAAGCAGGGTAAATCTTGGAAGTGTTAATTTAACTTTAAATATAACTATATCAGTTTGCAAATGTTGGAGTCAAAGTAATACACCAAGATCATTTTGAATTATAATTCAGGTTTATTACAACTTGCGTCTTACTTCATTTTTTTGTCCACCATCTGATTTGGTTATGAAAACATTGCACTCACCGAAGTAATTGCTGAGATCTGGGAACACTCTGGCATCGCAAAATGAAGTTAGACGAGGAAACACGGGCAGTTAGTTAATTAAACAAGTTATAAACAAGCCAAGTCAGATATGAACTATTATTATTATTTATTTGGAGATCACCTGAAATAAGGGTGGTAATCACCCATTTCACAAGAAAACTGTATTCACAGCTACAGCAAACACGGCGACCAAACGTGAAGCATGCAGTCCATCTGGCAACTGTGTTCTCACAGATTTATTTTATAGATATTTTGCACTGTTACCAGATCTCCACAATTAACTTGGTGAGTATGGTGAATTTTACTATTAACAATTGAAATGATGGCCAAAACTATAAAATGATGATGAATAACCCAGGTTGTAATAACTAGTTATGCTTGGTTAATGTTTTTGACCAATGTTTTTTGGTTTATGTGTTTAATGAGAAATAAATAAGGAAATTTCAGTCACAGTTTAAAACTTCTTAGGACAAGCAGAAACCCATGTTTACATAGACACATAAATTCATCACATTACATTCCACCACAGTGGCTCAGTGGTTAACTGTCGCCTTACAGTAGGAGGTCCTGAGTTCAATTCCCGGATGTGTGGAATTTGCATGTTCTCCCTGTCCTAGTACTTAGGAGTGCAGAGAATGATTTTCCCCCTGGGTATCAATAAAGGTTATCTAACTATACTACAGTCTTTACTTGTAGTACTTATGACCAACTTTTGGGGTGTTAGATATCAGGTCCAACCTAATTCAGGGTCAGTTGGTCTATGTTTTTACCCCCAAGCTCTATGCGGAGTTTGAATTATTACCAACAGAATGAGTCTCAATTAGATTGCATCTTCAGAGACTTGATGAGTCTCTCCAAACAAGTGGAAATATAAATGGCAAGTATGTGACAGGGGAAGGGATATACTGCGTCTGTTTACGTAAGTTAACCTCACAGTCTCTTTGACATCAACAACAATAATCTCTGGCTGAATCCTCAAGTGCATTTTGTTACCTCCTGGAATCCTTGTAATGGAAAAACGTGCATGATGTCAGCCAGCAGATGCACTTAACAAGTCAATATGCCTCACTGTTTCGTTTAGGGGGCACACTGCCCATTAAAGTGGTTAAGGGACTAATTGTCTGGTTCTTATTAAACTGACAGAGATGGATAGAGATCTGGCAGTCAGGCCTCAGTTTAAAGTAAAAATTGCCTAAGTGCAATACACTAATTTATGTACACTGGTTTGAAGCATCAACTTCAGTTTTTAATACAGCCTCTCTGTATTTAAACAATTAACTAACAAATAACTCATTGATTAAGACCAAGAATTTACAAGATACTTTTTTAAGAAGATGGTATTATGACTCATGAAAAGACTAAAACCGAATCATGAAAAACCATAATAATAATTGTCTGTGTAGCTGAAGCTGATATGAAGTATTTTGTTCATCTGTGCCTCAATACCTCTACTTCTAATCTAAAAACATATCAGTGAGACACACCATTATACTAGTTGACATGTACGGTCATGACCATGAACGCAGGCACCGTAGTTTATTTTGACTCAATCCCACATACAATGTCGTGCTGCTGTAAATACTCACTAGAGCTTCAAATGTGTATTATTCCATGGGTGAAAGCTATTTACTCC